CAGTCCGACAACAACGATGATTAACACAAGTCATCATCAACAATAAGAAAGTACAAACAACACACATGCTAGCATTTAAACACCGAACTAACATGCTTATCAAACGGGTAAACCGAAAGTAGTTCCGAAGAACACACAAGACTCATCACGGTTCAACGAATCACAATGTTGAACACTTCGCACGATTCAAGACACCAAAACCTACATGGAATCCTACCATATAGTTCTAGACATACGAAACATCAAGAAGACGCTCAAATAGTTCCACAAAAGAACATCGGGAAGTCAAAAGACCAAATACCGAGTCAAAAGAATCACGGGGAACAAATCCCCAAATAAGTCAACATTGTTCCCCGCGGGTGGAACCACGGGTAGACCCCCACCCGTGGTTCCGCCCGCGGGTACAACACCCACCGGCCATGTACCCCGCGGGTGGGGCGGCGGGTGGACGCCTACCCGCCGTTCCGCCCGCGGGTACACTACCCTGTACCAAAACATCCCTTCGGGGATTTTCAACACCAAGCTCAAATTCAAGTCCAAAACATGTCAAATCTCACCAAATACAACAAAATGACTTGAATCAAAGGAATAGCCAAACAATGGCATACAAGAACGCTAAACACAAGCACTAGGTATGCATTTTCACAAGACAATGCATAAACACTCACATTTCATAGCAAAACACATGTAGAATCCAAGAAAGCATCATATAGGTAAGCAAAATAGATTTTGTAGAGCATGGGTTACCTCTTGAAGACTCAACTTTCACTTTCAACACTTCACAAAGCTCTCAACAAGGTTCCCTTTCCACACCCACTTCAAGAACACACCAAAACAACATAAAGATTTCACCTTTATAAAAAGATACCTTAGAAAACACTAAAAACACAAGAAGAGCTTAGATCTTACCCTCTTAGATGCTCAAAAGTATTAAAGGTAGAATCTTGAAGGCAAACTTGAAAGATCTTGGTAGCCCTAGGTGTGGCTTAGAGAGAAAGCTAACTAGCTTTTAGAGAGAAGAGAGAGGGCTTATGATTTTTCTCTTTGAGAGTGTTTGAAGAAATGAAATGTGTCTTCCTAGGTTAGCTTGAAAGACTATTGCCAAGGAAATGCCTTATTTACCCTTACTAAGATGAAATGTGTAAGGGAACAAGGGAACAACTCTCAAAGCTTTAGGTACAACTTTGACTTTGGGTTGACTAGCCAATTACTAGTCCCCGACTATTGAATTTTCAGGAATTTAAGAATTAAATTACCAATTGAATTAGGATTAATTACTTAATTAATCCCTTAATCGAATTTGGATTACGGGGTGTCACACTTAGTATATGTACTGAACAATATCCTAAGGTGATAATTAAATAGGCAATTACCAAAAACTCTTTTGGACCATGTTCCATCCATGAATCCGCTATATTAAATATCACATAACCTGTATTGTCGAAGAATCCATGAGGCTTCACACTTCAGAAAATAAGCATTGACCCACCACAATACACCGTAGATGAATTAGCCAAATAAAGGCTTTATACTTGGCGAGAAGAGTGATATATTAATCAGAGATTACCAAAAAAAAGTACCATAGAGTAGCCATAGAGTAGTAGTACCAAAAAGAATTACCATATGCAGCAGTCATAGTCCAGCCAATACATCAACCATTCAACTACTACTCCCCCTCTCTTACTTCCCCCTCAATCCAACAATTTTACCAAAATTTCACAAAACCAAACATCCAATAGTTTTACCAAAACTCCCCCTTATTCCAACCATACCCCCCCCCCCCCCCCCTTAGTATATACTCCCCCTTTTGCCAATAAATTGACAAAGGTGAACATCTATATTAGTGGATTAAGTCTGACGGAGTGCCCGATAGAATTGAACCTGCACAGGAAAATTAGTAACGAAAAACATGCAGAACTTGATAACATATAAGCACATAAAGACACACAAATCAACTTGATAACATATAAGCACATAAAGACACGCAAATCAACTTGATAACATATATGCACATAAAGACACACAAATCAAGTTGGAGCAGATTAAGTAGATAAAACATACCAAGTAATACACACATTCAAGCACAAATTCGTAGCAAATAACACAAAAAGCACACAATTGGGCTACTCAAAAAGACAGATTGGTAAATAAGACAGTAAGCACATTCAGGTAAAGCATATTCAGCCAGAGATTCAACTAAAGCAACATCAGGCACAAATTCATATAAATCTAATTTAGGCACAGATTCATACCAGATAGCACGGGAAAACACACAAATAAACACGCATACGGTCATGACAGGACTAAACACATAACACAGAGCAAGATTACAGATAACACTTTTATGGAGAATGCAGGTAAATCAATAGGTACATTCACATAAACACATAGCTACGAATATCAACTTGCGGCAAATTTACCTTTCAAGCAACCTTATAGAATTCCAATTTTTAGCACAAGAAACACCAACAAAAAGGCATAATCAAAGGATTATCATATCAAAAGTAGCCAAAACAACGTAGATAGGACATTTAGTGAACAAACAGAAACAGTCAAAAACAAAACACAGAGAATCAATCCGCAATTTAGAGTAGTAGGTAATGAAAAGGACTAATTGCGAGAAAATTTAAAAAAAAAAAAATTGGAATAGAGGACAAATCAATCATAGAGAGACACACGCACAAAAAAAAGACATAGATGCAATGTGAGAGCATGTAAGAACAGAACCTTTAATTCAAAAGATAAATTCTCTGATCCTGAAACAGATTCTATCACAGATGCAAAATATTACACTCGCAAAGATGAAGAATTGTCAAAATTTGATGAATGCAAGGATACTGAAGTAGAGGGCACCAAATTAGGTAAAGGAACACATAAAAAATCAGCTTTAGACATAGGAAAATTTGCAGGTATTTCACAGGATACATTAGACAATGACACCCTAAAATATTCATGAAATCAACAAAAGGAATTAGAGAGTAATGAACCCGTAGACCTTATCACCAAAAATGATGGCAAAATTAATTTTGAAGATGGATGATCTATTGTGGATGCGTGTTGGAATGTCAATTTCGTCTTGATCAGTGTCAGATTCTGATTCTGATTCTGGGTCAGGTTCAGAAGGTGTGGGTGATTCTGGATCTGGTTCAGGAGTTTCAGGATCAGGAGTTTCAGAAAGGTTTGCGTCAGGTTCTGTCACTGACACAGGTTGTGAAACTTCAACAATACCATTCAGTTGATCATCAATTACAACATTTGTAGACTCCATGATGGTCTTGGTCACTTTGTTGTATACACGATATGCACTGCTGTTCATTGAATAACCAGGAAAGATCCCCTCGTCGCTTTTTGGTTCAAATTTTGCAACAGGATTTCTATCCTTCAAAATAAAACATCGTGAGCCAAAAATGTGAAATTATTTAATATTCGGTTTCTTACCTTTTCCATAATTCATACGGTGTTTAACTTGTGTCTGGCCGAAGATAGACTCGGTTGGGGAGGTGACATGCGGTGTTTACAGCTTCTGTCCAGAATTTTTGAGGTAATCCTTTGGCATTGAGCAGAACTCGTCCCATTTCTTGAATGGTGCGGTTTTTTCATTCAACGACTCCGTTTTGTTGAGGTGTCTTTGGTGCTGAATACTCGTGGGTAATTCCTGATTGATTGCAAAAGGCATCGAACAAGTTGTTGTCGAATTTCCGTTTGTGATCACTTCGAATTCAAATAATAGGTTCATTTCTTTCCTTTTGGAGTTTCAGTCCCAGTGTTTTGAAAGCTTCAAGTGCTTTGGATTTTTCCCTGAGAAAGATTACCCACGAAAAATGTGAAAAATCATCAACACATACTAGTATGTATTTCTTACCTCCAAAACTCTCTGTTTGAGTAGGACCAATGAGATCCATGTGGATCTGTTCTAGGCAGTGACTTGTGTTTATGGTATGTTAAGCTGGATGAAATGATTTGGTTTGTTTCCCAACTTGGCAGGCACCACAAATGATTGATTCGACTTTCATCTTGGGTAAACCACGAACACCTTCTATCTTCATTAGTTTATCAAGTAATCTGTAACTCAGATACCCCAGTTTTTGGTGCCATAGCTCAGCTTCATCTATGCTAGTCCTGCAACAGAAGATATGTTAGTTAGAATATAGCAATTGTCAATTGACCTTTTACCTTCCATAACGCATTGATTTGTTTTGTCCAGGACACTGCAGTTATTTTTGGTGAAGCACACGTTCCAGTTTTGGTCACATAGTTGACTTATACTTATGAAATTTGTGTGAAGTCCATTGACTAGCAATACTTTTTCTAGTTTTGGCAGGCCAACTACATTTAGTGTGCCTATGCCAATGACCTGACCTTTAATACCGTCACCAAAGGTAACTTCACCTTTGCTTGCATTTACGTTACTTAGAAATTTGGCATTTCCTGTCATGTGACTGGAACACCCGCTGTCAAAGTACCATTTCTCTTCTCTTCCTGCTCTTTTAGAGTGAAAAGAAACAATCGAAATATAGTCAGTCTTTTTAACCCAAATCTTTTTGTAAAGGGTTGGATGTTCTTGTATTCGAACTTCTCGATTCTTTGATCCTTGTAGAAGTAGTAGCATTCGGATCTGGTACGGCCACGCAACCTGCAATAATGACATACGGGGTTATAGAGTTTGTACTGTTGCTTGTTTGACCTTACTATAACACTGTTATGTTTCGTTGAGCTGGATTCAGGAATGTATCCTGGATCAGGTCCAGACGCTTTGACGAATACCGTTTTATCCTTTGAGTTGCTTCCGTTGAAACCCAAATCGAATTTTGCAGAAGTTTTTCTTCTGGAATCAAAGATTTTGTCAAGTGTTGAAGTGGTGTCCATCATTTGGATTTGTCGTTTGTAGGTGCTTAGTTCCTACTTCAAGGTCTCTACTTCCTGTTTCAGTCTCTCTTCTCGGTCAGCCGCTTCTTTAAGAAGTACATCCCTATCTGCTATTTGAGTTTGGTACACTTTACTAGCATTTGTTACAATCTCTATCTCACTAGACAATTTGCAATTTTCTTATCTTAGGGCTTCGCATTTGGGGTACAACTTATTGAACTCAACTTCAAAAGATAAAGCATTTAATTCTAAATCTTCCGCTGAGACATATTCACCTCCCTCTGAGTCAGCTCCTTATTCAAGTTCTGAACATCCAGCAACACGTGCAGTAAAAGCAACAAAATTACAGGAGACTTCTTCTACATCAGATCTAGTTGTTTCAGCGTTAGGTTAATCGTCACTCCAGGTAATGGCTGACATAAACTTTTTGCGTCTGAGATAGGTGGGACACTCCGCTTGTACATGTCCAAAGCCTTCACACTCATAGCATTTGATTCCTTTATTGTTAGATTTTTCTTTGGACTGCCATGGACGTGAGACAGACTGCTTGAAGTTTGACGAGCTTGTCCTAGGACCAGCTTTGGATGACATTGTTCCTCTTTGTGGATTTTTGTTGCGTGAATTATTTGATACCTGTTTCAAAATTTTAGAAAATTGTTTAGTCAAATAAACAATTGTATCATCACCTGGTTCGTCTGAATCAGATACAACATTATTTCCTTCAGCGGCAAAAGCTACATTTTTTTGTTTTTTCGTTTTCGTGTGATCAGTTAAAATTTCCATTTCATAGGTTCTAAGATTTCCCATTAACTGAGTAACCGTTTTGTTCTCCCAGCCGTCATGTTCCTGAATGGCCGTGATTTTCATTCTGAACCTTGGTGGTAACGATCTCAGAATTTTTTTAACAAGTTTTTTTTGGGGGAAAGGTTCACCGAGGACCATCGCACGATTTGCCAGTTCCTGTACACGTGTGTGAAAGTTCGTGATGGTCTCATCCTCATTCATCTGAAGCTCTTCAAAGTCGGACTGGACTAGTTGCAGCTTTGATTGTTTCACTGACGTAGTTCCTTTGTAAGTTGACTCAAGAGCCTCCCACGCACCTTTAGCTTACTCAGTACCTGCAACTATAGAAAACTGACTTTCATGCATAAGGGAGTAAATCGTATCTAAGGCCTTATCGTTATATCCAACATTAGTTATTTCAGTTTGGGACCATTCGGTTTCAGGTGTAGTTACTCACGTTCCATCATCACTGATACTGGCTTTAGTCGGATGAGTCCAACCTGTCACCACGGACCGCCATACTGCATCACCTTGAGTTTTTAGATGTGTACGTGTGCGAGCTTTCCAATAAGCGTAGTTGTCGCCGATTAGCTGGGGAAGAACCTTAACACGATCCATTCTGTAACACTCAACAACCCGTGAGATTGAACAAATTAACAGAATAAAGAAAAGCAATAAGAGTCGTTGAAAACTTGAGTTCAAGAGGCACGGGATAGCCAGATCGACAGACTAATAATTTAAGTCTGCAGGCTCTGATACCAATTGAAATTGCACCGTGAATCTTGAATGCAAGATTTAACTTATATTTCTACTTGATTTTATGTTATGCAACAATCGCGTTCATTAATTAGATTTGTTAATCAAATGTAAATAACGAAAATTGAAAGCATAAAATAAAACAATAACACAAGAGAATTGTTACGCAGTTCGGAGCGCTTCTCCTACGTCTGCGGGGCAACCCACGTCTGCCCAATCCACCACCAAGGAGTATTACAAGAGGTAAGTACAAATGGCTCTCAGCCTTTACCACTACAACCCTTCCTAACACCTATTCAGGACTGAACCGTGCATGCCATAGCAATCTTCAAGCGAAGCTTCAGCTGTACCAGGTACTGACTGTGTAGCTCAGGCAGAATTTCTCAAGAAATAATAAAATAACAATAGATATTTATGCAGTAGCTTTCTAGAAATTCCTTTACTCAATATATCAATTCTCAAAAATGGCAACCTTCCACTTTGGCGAGGCCTCCTTTTATAGCATTAGATATGTATTACATTGATCCTCATAATCAGCATCTCAACCTCTTCATTAAATCAGAGCCACATGTTTTATTTGAATGCCTCCAAATACTCACTGTATTGCTGACTTCTCTTTTTCCAATCAACCAATTAAAATATAACTATGCAAATATTAGATGATAGGAAGTGGTCCAAAACAGGAATTTTAAACTAAATAAAACTAATTAATTCTAATTTAGGTGAGACTAAATAAATTTGCCAACAAAGATTTAATGTGTACTAAAATTGTACACCTACAAATTACTTATTACTTACGGGGCGTTTGGTTGGAAGGAAGGAATTAAGGGGGAAATGAATTGTAATTCGGTGGGAAAAGAATAAGGTGGGAATAAAGTAGGAATTACAATTACATTGTTTGGTAAGGAGGAATAATGAAAATGGGAAAAGTGATATAAAGACTAAAATACCCTTTGTGTAATAATATTAATAATAACATTCAAGGACAAATATGTCTTTTCCTTCCCTTTCCCTTTGCATGAATTCATTGAATTGCAATTCATAGGGGGACCTATGAATTGCAATTCAATGAATTGAGGAAATTGCAATTCCCTCCAACCAAACAATGTAGTTTATCATTTCATTGAATTGCAATTCAACTCCAACGCAATTCATGCCAACCAAACACCCCGTTAATAGTCGAGGGACCAAAATGAGTATTAACTCTTATATTATTATTATGAACATATTGTATAGGCATGGCATAGTAGGTAGTAAAGGAGATAGATAAGCTTCCCATCAGTGTCAGTTACATGTCTTTTCATTATACATGCCTCAGTGTCTGCCACTATATCGGTTGGTGTCTATTTCATTATGGAGCAGGTCAAACTTTTGTATTTCAATGATACAAACTGTTGAAAATGATAGGATACCCATTCAATTCCTTGCATTAGCATGTTATGTGTGTATGTTTTTCACGTTGATTATATTCCCGATTTGTAATTATACAAAATTGTCTACGCTACAAACTGTTGAAAATGATAGGATACCCATTAATTCCTTGCATTATTAGCATGTTATGTTATGTGTGTATGTTTTTCACGTTGATTCCCGATTTGTAATTATAGAAAATTGTCTACGCAGCTGATGATATATATATATATATATATATATAGATGCGGGTTCAGGTGCGGCAGTGTCTTACGGTGCGGTTATTTCTTACGGTGCGGCAACACCAATAGTTCACCAAATATGCACCATCAACGTTAGGAAATACACCACACAAAACAGAGTAAACAGAGCCCTGCATCACCAAACACACACCATTAGGTGTGAGTAAAAACACCATACACTGTTCGGAAATACACCATTGGGGGTGCTGAGTTATATGGTGTGTTTTTTTGAGTCTGTGGCGTATTTTGTGATGTTTTATTACATTTCATTGGGGTGTGTTTTTATTACACTGTTGGTGCATATTGTTAACACTGTTGGTGTATTCTGAAATTTGACCGCACCGCCGCACCGTAAGACCCCGCCGCATATAAGCGCTCTTCTATATATATATATATATATATATATATATATATATATATATATATATATATATATATATATATATATAGAATCGCACTCAGGTGCGAATGCTTCGCCCAGGCGCGAAATAGGAATGGATTATGTCCGTCCACGTGTCCAGACCTAATGGATAAGAAACACTGTTTTTTAAAAAACGCGGTGACATTTTCGTAAATAATTGAACATGGAAGTGCAAGTAAAATGTATTACAAGTGCATGTAAAATGTATTATAGGTGCAAGTAAAAATTTACACTGAGCATCAATACTTAGTTGCACCTATAGTTCTAAGTAGTTGCACATATAGTTATAAGTAGTTGCACCTAGGTGTATGAATGTTTGCGAGTGGTTTTCAGGGGTATTACTACCCGCTGAACTCAGATCAATGAATGTTAACAATGCAAAATTACATGCACTTATAGGTGAAAGTAGGTGCACCTATAGTTATAAGTAGTTGCACCTATAGTTATAAATAGTTGCACATATAGTTATAAGCACACCCATGTGCATGAATGTTTGCGGAAAGTGAATGCTAACAAGGCAAAATTACATGCACTTATAGGTGAAAGTAGGTGCAATTGCAAGTGATTTTACTTGCACTTTGATGTTCAATTATTTACGAAAATGTCATCGTGTTTTTTTTTTTTTAGTTATTAGATCTGGACACGTGTCGCGCACTGATTCGTTCGCATATTCCTTCCTGGGCACTTATTTGCACCTGAGTGCATTCCTATATATATATATATATATATATATATATATATATATATATATATATATATATAGGAAAAAGTTCCCGTGCGGCAGACACTTCCCGTGCGGCGATGCGGCGGGGTTACAGAATACACCAACAGTGTTATCAACATGCACCAACAGTGTAAGGGAAACGCACCACAATGAAATGCAAAAAAAATCACAGAATACACAACAGACCCAAAAAATACACCATATAACTCATCACACCCCAATAGTGTATTTCCAAACACTGTATGGTGTTTTTTCTCACGCCTAATGGTGTATTTTTGGTGATGCGTACCTAATTTGTGTGTATTTTTATGGTGTATTTTTCTAACGTTAATGGTGTATATTTGTTGAACTATTGGTGACGCCGCACCGCCGCACCTAAGGACACCGCCGCACCTGAACTCGCCTCTATATATATATATATATATATATATATATATATATATATATATATATATATATATATATATATAGTGAAAGGTTCCCGTGCGGATGTGCGGTGGATTAATGTGCGTGAGATTTGTACTCAATGTGCGTGAGTGTTGTGCTTAATGTGCCTAAGATTTGTATTTAATGTGCGTGAATGTGTAAAATGCAGCAGAAAATATTGATGTCAGCTTCTTCCCCATACCCAGTAACCATTGCCCCCTCCCTGATGATGATGATGTAGAGGCGGGCTATGGTGGTTAAGAATTATGGGAATAATACGACAGAAATCCACACTTAGCTGCTGTGCAAATTTCACTGTGCGTGCGTCATCTATATAAACATTCAACTGCACTGAAGGTAGTTGATAATCCAGAATTCATGGCCAAATTGAAGGAAAAAGTAACAAGAAGCTTGAGCGTTAATGTGCGTGAGTTTCTGTTCTGCTTCCTTCTGAGCTCGTAATTCTGAAATACTCACGCACATTAAGCACAAATCTCACGCACATTAAACACAATACTCAGGCACATTAAGTACAAAACTCACGCATATTAACATGAAGCACATTAAGTACAAATCTCAGGCACATTAAGTACAAATCTCACGCACATTAAGTATAAACCTCACGCACATTAATCCACCGCACATCTGCAGGGGAAGCCACAAATGCACATGATCCCTTCCCTATATATATATATATATATATATATATATATATATATATATATATATATATATATATATATATATATATATATATATATACGGCGGTGCGGCATCACCAATAATTCAAACAAATATACACCATCAATGTTAGGAAAATACACCACAAAAAACAGAGACAAATTAGGTACGCATCACCAAATACACACCATTAGGTGTGAGTAAAACCAACATACAGTATTCAGAAATACATCATTGGGGTGGTGAGTTATATGGTGTATTTTTTTGGGTCTGTTGTGTATTTTTTGATATTTTATTGCATTTCATTGTGGCGTGTTTTCCTTACATTGTTGGTGCATATTGTTAACATTGTTGATGTATTCTGAAATTCCGTCGCACCGCCGCATTTGAATTTTTTCAAATATATATATATATATATATATATATATATATATATATATATATATATATATATATATATATATATATATATATATATGAAAAGGTTCGAATGCGACGAGACCTTCCTGTACGGTCGTGCGGCAGTTTTCAGAATACATCAACAATGTTACTAATATGCAACAATAGTGTAAGAGAAACACACAACAATGAAATGCAAAAACATATTAAAAATACACAACACACTCAAAAAAATACACCATATACCTCCCTACCACTAATAGTGTATTTTCAAACACTGTGTGGTGCTTTTAGTCCTACCTAATGGTGGGTTGTTGGTGATGCGTACCTAATTTGTGTGTGTTTTTGTAGTGAATTTCATAACGTTGATGGTGTATATTTTGCTTAACTGTTGGTGTATTCTTAAAACCGCCGCACGACCGCACGGGAAGAACTCGTCGCGCTGGAACTCGACTATATATATATATATATATATATATATAATCTCGCACGTTCTGGTGCGAATGGCGCGCCCAGGAGCGAATATACCAATCAGCACGCGCCACATGTCTAGAACTAGGTGCACATATAGTATTAACTACGTGCACCTATGTGAAAGTATGTGAACTTGTAGGTGAAAGTAGGTGCACTTGATCAATGAATGTTAACAAGGAAAAATTACATGCACTTGTAGGTGAAAGTAGGTGCATCCGACCAATGAATGTTGACACGTGGCGCGCGCTGATTGGTTCGCATATTCGCACCTGGGCGGCCTTTCGCACGAGATCGCGCCCCTATATATATACCCAAATCACCACACACCTTAAGCACACAAACAAAACACCTTAAGAACACAAATGACTCACATTAAGTACATAAACCACGCACATTAAGCATAAAATCCACGCACCTAAGATTTTAAAATGGCTCACGTTAAGCACAAACTCACGCACATTAAGCACAAAACTCACGCACCATAAGCACAAATCTCACGCACCTTAAACACAAAACCCACACACTTTAAGTTTTAACAACTACTCACATTAATTACAAAACCCACGCACCTTAAGCACAAACTCACGCACATTAAGCACAAAACCCACGCACCTTAAACCCAAATCTCACGCACCTTAAGCACAAAATCCACGCACTTTAAGTTTTAACAACTACTCATATTAAGCACAAAACCCACGCACCTTAAGCACAAATTCATGCACATTAAGCAAAAAACTCACGCACCTTAACCACAAATCTCACGCACCTTAAATACAAAACTCACGCACCTTAAATTTGACTTAGATGCAAAAATTACCAAATTGCCACCGCGTTTTTTTTTTAAATTTTGGTGATCCCGAACCTTGATTTAAGCAAGATCAATGGCTTAGATTTAACCCCACAACCGCACCTGGGACTACCAACCGTACCAAAACCCAATTCTATATATATATATATATATATATATATATATATATATATATATATATATATATATATAAGGATTTTAATGAGAACACTTGCTTAGGTGAGATTGTGAGAAAAAACCGTGTGCATCCATCTAATATTTTTTAATTGTCTAGATTAGATTAAGTGTGTGCAAACACAAATTAAATGTGTGCAAATGCACTTAATCGTGTTTGCACACATTAATTCGCGTTCGCACACAATTAATCTAATCGAGACCGTTAAAAAATATTAGATGGATGCACACGATTTGTTCTCACGTTCTCACCTAAGTAAGTGTTCTCATATGATCCTATATATATATATATATATATATATATATATATATATATATATATATATATATATATATATATCATTTGTTTGCTTTTTCTTTTCTATTTTTTCCTTTTCCTTTCTTTCTTCATAAAATATTTTCTCTCATTCATTCTTAATTTATTATTATTATTAGGTAAAATTACACTTTTCGTACCTAAGTTATAGAGTAATTGTTGAATTCGTCCCTAAGTGTTGGTCATGCTCACTTTTCGTCCCTAAGTTATCATTAACGTTGCACTTTTCGTCCCTGAGTTATAAGGTAATTGTAGGATTCGTCCCTAAGTGTTGGTCATGTTCACTTTTCGTCCCTAAGTTATTATTGACGTTGCACTTTTCATCCCTGAGTTATACTAAAATTGTAAATTTTACCCCTAATCACTACTACATAAATGGTATACTATGTCACTTAATAGACGACGATTTTTTAAATATCCTCCGTCTAATATATTGTGTTATACTACGTCACTTAATAGACGGTGGTTGTTTAAATAACTGCCGTATATAGTTGACATACACGTCAGTTGTTTAACCGTCGTATATAATTAACATACACAGCGGTTTCCAAAACTGCCGTAGAAAGTGTATATTTACAACGGTAGTCACTTACACGCATGACACATCGAAAATCACAGTGTATGTGTACAAAAAACTGCCGATGGTTATTTAAAGTGTATGACTTAAAAAAATAATTAAGGTATATACGGCGGTTATTTAAAAAATTGTCATCTATTAAGTGACGTAGTATAACAAAATATATTAGACGGTGATTATTTAAAAAATCTCCGTCTATTAAGTAACGTAGTATACCATTTATATAGTAGTGATTATGGACGAAATTTGCAATTTTAGTATAACTCAGGGACGAAAAGTGCAACGTCAATGATAACTTAGGGACGAAAAGTGAGCATGAACAACACTCAGGGACGAATTCTACAATTACTCTATAGCTCAAGTGACGAAAAGTGCAACGTCAATGTTAACTTAGGGACGAAAATGAGCATGACCAATACTCAGGGACAAATTCTGCAATTATTCTCTAACTTGGGGACGAATTCTGCAATTATCCTCTAACTTAGGGACGAAAAGTATAATTTTCTCTTATTATTATTATTATTATTATTATTATTATTATTATTATTATTATTATTATTATTATTATTATTATTATTATTATTCACCTACTTAAATATTAAATATATCGAATGATTTGATATAATATTTTTTTTATTAAATATTTTCTCTCTCTTTCCCTCTCTCTCACAGACATATACATTCAAATTATCATTAATATATACATGTGTCATGTTTTGTCATTTAACATCTATCACTCCCTTAACAACTCATTTTATTATTAAATATTTCAGTTTAGTTTTATTAAAAGCCATATTTTCTATATAATTAATGACACCACAACCCACTAGATATTAGTAAATACAAGAAAACTCTACCATACTAATAAGAGCTCAAGAGAGTTAGGCCTATAATAGGTAGAAAAAAATGACGGTCAAATTTTTTAATCAAATGAATGGATCAGATTGATCAGACTTTAATTTTTCGTTAAGATTTCCTAATTTATCCTTAATGAATATGATTATCTGTTAACTTTTTCGTTAAATATTATCTTTTCCGTTAATTTCTGTTAGTTCACCATTAACTTACTCATTGATTTCAATAAGAAAGGTCTTAGGTTTTGAACATCATCCCAATCAAAATTGGCATAATTAGTACTCTATTTTACTCTTATTAAATTAAATACTAATTTAGTAGCTACAACAAAAAATAATACATATGCATTTCTTTAATTTAGAATTATGTGTCTACAATGTCTTTATTCAAAAAAAATTATTCATTATCAATAAATTAAATAAGAGAAATAATTTCATTAGTTATATTGTATTTATTTTTCTCCAATATAAAATTTCTTTACATTCAAATTCATCAATTGATTATATTCGCTACATTGTTCATACAATGTCTTTATTAAAAAAAATTTTATTCATTATCAATAAATTAATTAAGAGAAATAATTTTATTAGTTATATTGTCTTTATATTTCTCCAATGTAAAAATTCTTTACATTTAAACTCATCAATTGATTATATTCACTACATTGTCTATTATCTTTTTTGTGCACTATTTTTTAATTAAATATCAAAGTTATAATACAAAATAATATTATATATTTATTTATCAAGTATTTTATTAGTACTATGAAAAAAATTAAAAAATTATAATTAATAAAGCCAATCATATTAACTACTTGAGGATTTTGTTGACAAAGAGAGTATTCAAATCACACAACAAATTGGAGTATTGAGAACTACCTCGCAATGTCCTTGTTTGACAATCAACAGTTAGTGGTTAGCGTTAGCGGATTATATTAGCGAATTTGACCAGCGAATTATGTCAACGGTTGATAAAAAGATATTTGAAAAAATTAGCTGTTTAGATTAACATGTAAAATGACATAATAATAATAATAATAATAATAATAATAATAATTGTTTTCAAAAAATAAAAAATATAATTAAGCCAATTATATTAACTACTTGGGGGATTTATTGACAAAAACGAGTATTCAAATCACACAATAAATTGAAGTGAGAAACTATCTCGCAATGTCCTTGTTTGGCAATCAGCAGTTAGCTCTTCAATATTAGTATATATTTAATATTTTATGCCATAATTTTTATTTGCTCTCACTTATGTCCCGTATTTGGTTTCAATCATACCTATACAATTATGTTATTGACAATTATAATCAATCTTGACTATATTATTTTAACGTTCAATTATCTATGCATGAACAATTCCAATATAATCTTACCTTAATATACTTTAAAGTACTTATTTAAAAAAAATATTGAGTATTTTTCCAATCGTGCAATGCGCAAAACTAGTAATATAATAAAACTCTGAAAATGATAATTGGGCTCTTGATGAATAAAAATCTGCCACAATTTTATTTGAAAAAAACAACAACAAAATTAAAAAGAAAATATGATCCATTTCTTTTATGAACTTAAGTATGTCATAAAAAGAGAATAAAAAGTAAAGCAAAAAGTGAGACTGTGAGAGTAATGATAGCATATTATTACTCATAAAATTTAATTTAAGATGAGGAATTAATCCGGAGTTAATTTGATTCAGGATATTGAAATATGCGGAATGCGGAGTTGTGGATACTAAACCCGCCGTCGATGAACAAGTTATGACCGCTGATATATTTAGCTTCATCACTGGCCAAGAAAAGAGCCGCACTTGCAACATCGTCAACTTTAAGAGTCACGCCCTTAAGATTCGCGAGCGTGTTCATCGTATTCTCCAAATCTTCATCGTTAACGCCCACGAATTTCGTCGCCAGCGGCGTCGCCATCGCGTACGGCGACACGCAGTTCACGCGTATCCCGAACTGCCCAAGCTCCACCGCCAGGTTCTTCGTCAGCCCAAAAACCGCGTGCTTCGACGCCGCGTAAGCGTGAGATGCGGCGCCGGCGAGGGTTGAGCTCACGCTCGAGGTCGACAATATGCAGCCGCGGCGGGCCGGGACCATGACGCGCGCCGCGTGTTTCATGCCTAGGAAGACGCCGGTGACGTTGACGCTGAGCACGCGCTCGAAGTCGGCCTTGGCGTTGTCGGCGATGCGGGGTTTGTTATCGTCCGCGATCCCCGCGTTGGCGAACATGATGTCGAGCTTTCCGAAGGTTTCCACGGTCTTGTCGACGGCGTTTCGGACGTGTTCCTCGTTCGTGACGTCGCAGTGGAGGTAGGTGGAGTTGGAGGGCCCGCCGAGGGAGTCGACGACGGCGCTGCCGAGATCTTCCTGGATGTCGGCGATGGCCACTTTGGCACCGTGCTCGGAGAAAAGCTTCGCCGTGCATTTTCCAATGCCGCTGGCTCCTCCCGTTATCAGTGCAACCTTCCCTTCTAGTCTACACAATTTTTTAAACAAGTAAATAATTCTGAAAAATCAAACTTTTCAATTTTCTATAGAAATATTAATCTTGAGAATCTTCTTCCCTAAAAGTCCCCACTACTCATAGATTAATGACTTTGTATGTGGATAAAGTAAATTGAAATATGCATCTTAACTAGCCTATAGATCATAGTATATGTGATAGATTGTGGATAAAGACATACGATTGAGTCTTGACAGTTACAGTATGAGAGACACCAAATTAAATACTAGTCCTCTCATATATGGGGTTGGTGTTATGACAACCTCTGAAAGAATACTCACAATAAAATTATTTATTATCTACATATATTCTTATCGGTTGTTAATTAGTAAGAGTCGAACTTTGAAGTCTATTACGGAGTATCAAAGAATTTTCTGTATATATACTCAACTTTAGACATGAATGTTTAAAACAAGCTAAGGTAGTGGAAGAAATGCTTACCTTTTGGCCATTGTTGAAAGAACTGATGAAGTTGCCATATCTCTAACACACAAAAACAACAAGCTAAGGTAGGAACTAATTAAGTAGAGGGCTGGGCTGAGATTCTAAGATTTATATATAAACTACAAACTAATAACCTATATTTATATGTTTTAATTTATCCAACTTGGGCGAGGACGGCAAAGTTGACTACTTTGGGGAGTGGTTATTTGAATTTTTTTACTCAAATTTTAAATTGATTAAATCAGTATTTGACTCCGAAACATACGCCACGGACACAAATTGTGATATTTTTAATCAAAAATATTTTCTATCATTATAATTACCGCTTTTTGTTAACATTGTTGCAAAAATTGCACTTAAGCGCTGATTAATCGGCACCTATCAATTATTTAGCATATCACCATAATTGGTAATCTAGGTGGCCGACTAGGCCGCCTAGACCACCTAGTCGGTTAATTAGCTATTGTTTCCCCATTTTTTTTAATTATAGAGAAAGAGTTATTTCACTTAAAACGATATCGTTTTGAGTGAAATCACCCTAAATGTCTTTTAGGTTAATATATATTTAAAATTTTACTATTAACTATTAAAGTATTATATAGTTTATAATTATCAAGTCTTTAAAAAATAAAACAAATTAAAACACACACGGGTGCTCGAAGAGCATCTAGTGATTTTTTTAATCATATTTATTAGTCATTGTCAGATTAAAAAGTAACAATTACTCCGTATTTGTTTTCATAGAATATTAATGAATTTGTAAACTTCACGTGAATTAATAAGAAATCTACATATCTAATAAAAAATAACACATCAAGAGCAATGGGACTAATAGAGAATGGTAATCGTAACAATTTTTAACATTTTTCTTTTTAAAATTAAGAAGCAAAGCTAATCAATTTGAAATGCTAAATTATCCAAAAAAAAAAAATTTTAAATGCTAAAATTAACTGCAAATAACTCAACAGTTTTAAAACTAATTTTTTTTATTAAAAATCATTTTAATGGTTTTCGATAGAGACATTGTGTGCACATTTTTTTTTTTTCCGAAAATGAGGGAGTTCGATCAGAACTCAAGGTTAATGTGAATGCTCACGAGTCACGACGAACAATAATTAATATAAAATATTTCTTTAAATAATTAAATAATTAGTACTAAAAAATAATGGGAAAATGGCACTTTTCCCCCCTGAGTTATATACCTATAGCATTTTTGCCCCCTAAATTATTGAAGTGGCTGTTTTCCCCCCTGAAATGTTAAATGGACATATTTACCCTTCAACTAAATATTTAATTTATTTTTTTTTCTCCAACAAATTATGACCATAATTTGGTTCAAACCAAACAAACACTATAGCAACCAAACCGAAATATTCCAATTACAATTTAGAATCGAAATCCGATATTTAGAGTTTATTAAAATCGTGAACCAGAACGGACGGTTCATGTTCCGAACTGAAAAAATAAAATATATATAATGTTGAATTTATACTATTTTAAAATAAAAAATAAAATTTTAAAATAAAGACGGTTCAAAATCGCGAATCGGATCCAGAACCGCCAGTTCACGGTTCAAGATTCAATTTTTTGATACATAATTTTAATAAATTGACATTTAAATATTGGATTCTAGATCTGAATTATAACCGAAAACTATTAATTCGATTGCTATAGTATCCGGTTCAATTCAAACCGAACCGTGGTCATCCCTACGTATACGCAATAATTTGTTGGAGAAGTAAAATAAATAAAATAGGGAAAATGGCACTTTTTCCCCCTATGTTATATACTTATAGCACTTTTCCCCCCTCAATTATTTATGTAAGCACATTAGCCCCTCAATTATTTTAAAAGTGGTGGTTTTCCCCCCTAATATATTAAATTGACATTTCTACCCTTAAAGTAAACATTTTATTTATTTTACTTCTCCAACAAATTATTGCGTATATGTAGCGATTACCACGGTTCGGTTCGAACTGAACCAGACACTATAGCAATCGAATTAAAAATTTCAGTTATGATTCAGATCTAGAACCCAATATTTGGATTTCAATTTATTAAATTTAAGAATAAAAAAAAACTGGATCATGAACCGGCGGTTCCGGATCCCGTTCGCGATTTTGAACCGTCTTTATTTTAAAATTTTATTTTTTATTTTAAAATAGTTTAAATTCAACAATAAATGTATTTTATTTTTTCAGTTCGGGACATGAACCGGCCATTCCAGTTCGCGATTTTAATAAACTCTAAATATCGCGTTTTGATTATAAATTGTAATTGGAATATTTTGGTTTGGTTACTATAGTATCTGGTTTGAACCAAATTATAGTAATAATTTATTGGAGAATAAAAATAAATGAAATATTTATTTTAAGGGTAAATATGTCCGTTTAACATTTGAGGGGGAAAAAGAGCCACTTAAATAATTGAGGGTGAAAAAATGCTATAAATATAAAACATAGGGGGAAAAAGTGCCATTTTCCCAATAAAATATTTACTTTAAGGGTATAAATGTCAATTGAATATATCAGGGGGGAAAAAACACCACTTTTAGAATAACTGAGGGGGCTAATGTGCTTACCTAAATAATTGAGGGAGAAAAAGTGCTATAAGTATATAACTCAGGGGTAAAAAGTGCTATTTTCCCAAAAATAATTAAATAATTTAGTTTTTTTAGTTTTTAACTTTATTCTCTTTGATGAAAATATTGATAGCGAAACAACGTAACCTTAGCTTAGTGCAAACAAATTTAGAATAAAAAGCCGGCGCGTTCCTTTCTAGGAAGAATATATTCGGTTTTAAGATTTCAACTGAACATGAACCATAGAGGCTAGACCGGTGCTCACTGCGCACAAGGAGCCCCCCTCATTTTGAGAGGTTGCTCCCACACTGTCACTGGTGAGACTCGATCCCTGATCATTCTTCTAAAGTTTCACCTCTATGACCAGTTGAGCTACCCATATGGGCGGTTTCAAGATTTCATATATAGGCAGTTGGGTGATACCTAATAGCGCTTAGTTGATTGTGTTAATTAGAGGGTATAACTAGTTGATAATATTAATTGTTGTAAAAAAATGTTTGGTAAATTAGCTATTAGCTGATAGTTGTTTGGTATAATTTATTTTCTTAATTAAAAAGCTAATTGAACAAGTTGCTTGAAGTAGCTTTTTGAATTTTAACATTTTCTAGTTGTAAAAAGTTAATTAACCAAATACTTATATTAATATTTTAACTAAATCAAATAATTAATAGTTGTCAAATAAGTCAAAATTGACCTATGGACCAATTTTTTACCAAACATGGCCATAATCTCATTTCATTAAACTAACTTTATTACTTCCTCAAATTTTTACCAAACGAATACTTCTAACAATGATCCTAGATTCCCCGTCCGTGACCACTCCAGCTCCAGCTACGCATCCTCAAACGGCTCAGGAGGATCACGACAACCCCGCATCATCAGAAACGGGATGGAGTAACATGTCGGTTGGATGCCACGGTATCAGCAAACGAGGAACACACATATTTTGGGGCAGTCCTTTTATCGGAGACTGGAGCATTCTTAGGTTATGCAAGCGCCCTTTACGTAACTTGGGAGACCCCATCTGGCTAAAGCCATGGTTGTGAGGGAAGCCTTATCATGGCTCGAGAATAAAGAGTGGAGATGAATCACAATTGCAATGGACTGCCTTAGGGGCTGTTTATCCTAATGAAAAAATTGAGAGTTTTTTGCAAAAATAAAGAATTGGAGGAGTGAAAAAAATAAAAAATAGAAAACTTGTTTACTAAATTTATTTCTCAGGGGGCGTTTGATTCACGGAATCTTGGATTACCCCAGTTAATAGGATCACCTACAGGAAGGTAATGTGAGATTTTGGGAATGTAAGATTACCTTATGGGGGCGTTTGGTTCAGGTTATATAAGATAACCAAGGGAATGTGACATTCCAAAGCTCACATTCCGGTGTTTGGTTCATATTATCTCAGGGAATCTAACATTCCCAAGGAATGTCACATTCCCTCCACATAGGATTTTGAAGGGAATGTGATTCCCTTCAAAATCTTAGGTAATCTAAGATAACCTTGGTTATGTTAGTTATATATATATATATATATATATATATATATATATATATATATATATATATATTATGTTATGTTAGTTTATAAAATAATTTTGTTTCTCAAGTTCAAGATTTTAGTTAATATTTTAAAATCATGTGATTATATATGATACCGTTATCTTATTTATTTATTTTAATTTTTAAATTTATTAAAATATATGAAAATATGTTTAAGGATATTATAGTGTGTATAAAAGATAACCCTAAACCAAACATCATTATATTACATACCCCAATTTTAACCAAACACAGGAATCTAACATTCCCAGTAATCTAACATTCCCAGCAATCTAACATTCCCTAGGTAATCTTACATTCCGTGAACCAAACGACCCAAACACGTAACATTATGTGTTTAGTTTGGATTGTATAATATAATATTACCTTGTTTGGTTAATGGTTATATTTTAGGTTATATAGGTTTAAGTTCCAGTGCGGGTGAAGGTTTACCGTGCGGTTGTGCAGGTGATTAATGTGCGCGAGTTTTGTACTTAAACTGCGTGAGTATTGTGCTTAAGGTGCGTGAGATTTGTGCTTAATGTGCGTGAGTGTGTAATACTTAATGTGCGTGAGTTTTGTACTTAAGGTGCGTGAGTCTTGTGCCTAATGTGCGTGAGTTTTGTGCTTAATGTGCGTGTGTACTTAATGTGAGTTGTTGTTGAAACTTTAAAGTGCATGATTTTTGTGCTTAATATGCGTGAGTTTTGTGCTTAAGGTGTGTGAGTCTTGTGCTTAAAGTGCGTGAGTTTTGTACTTAATGTGTGTGAGTGTGTACTTAATGTGAGTTGTTGTTAAAACTTAAGGTGCATGTGTTTTTGTGCTTAAGGTGCGTGAGTTTTGTGCTTAAGGTGCGTGAGGGTTGTGTTTAAGATGCATGACTTTTGTGCTTAAGGTGCGTGAGTTTGTGTTCTGAATGTATGTTGTTTGTGTGTTTAAGAGTAAATACCACCTATGGTCCCTCGAGTTTTGTGGCATCGCCATTAATGGTCC